ACACTGGCAAAAGTCAACAGTGACTTAAAGCACAAGATAGGAAGCGTTGACCTTTTCCGTTTAACTAAACCGTAGTTCCCCTCGACCTTCGCCATGTGTGGCTTAAACTGAAACCACGCAAACGATGAGGTGCAGGATGTGAACACTGGATTTTTGTTATTTCACTTCCACTGATAAACAATTTCTAGACAGGCAAATTTTTTTCAGTTTCTGTCTCACATTAGTTTGCTGATGAGATTAATTAAGTCAGAAATCCACACAGACCATGTCTCCGCTCACTTTTCACTCCCTCATCCACAAACTGAAGTGTTTTCTTCCATGTTAGAAGTTTAACTGCAGTGACTGTGTGTTGGCAGCTGGCACAGTTATGCAGGTAATCACACAGTACAACTGTGGCACAACATTTCCAGAGTCAACACTGAGGGAAGAATGAAGCAGCTTTTACAACACAGCCTGTGTCAACATCATGAAAACATTAGTCACATATAACTATGAAAAAAGTGTCAGTGGGTGTAATCCTGGCAAAAACAAAAACTTCACCAAACACATCACAACTTTACCAAATGTATAGAATAACAACACATGTAGAAGAAGAGGGATGGGAGGATAAAGCCCTCATACACACAAAATACAAATCAACCTTTACAAAGAAAAGTCTAAACAAAGGTCCATATATATATATATATATTAGCAATGATTCCTAAGATTGTAAATCCTTATGACAAAGAAATGTGGGGCTGAGGTTTGATTTTTAATTCAACAAAATACATAGAACCTGAATTAAGAAAATAATTTAATGCAGAATGTAAAGATAACTTAACATGTCTCTTCTGCATTGTTTGTTCTGTAAAATAAATGTTTTCATACCAGCAAACTTAAAAATATAATTTTTACCTGATAAGCGATACATCGGTTGAGCTTTAACTGTCACCGAAACCAACATTTTTTTCTGCCTGAAAATAGAAGGTGATTTTCTTTGCACCATAAAATTCCAGAGTTTGATGTTTAGAGTCAAAAAAACACAGCAGTGCTCACTCTTTGACTCTTGGGGAAAAGAAAAAGTGACAAATCTGTTGATCCGCTCTGCACCCCGCCCCACCCCCCACATCTACTGTACAAATCCTCAGATGCTTTTTTAACTTCATCTCCAATCAAAGGAGCCCAGATTGCAATCTGTTACACAATATGTTTTGCTCCACTTTATCAGGCCCACAGATAAACCTCATGGCTGGAACACAGGCCTGTGAGTAATGAAGGCTCCCTCAACATAACAAGATCCTGCCGTCCTTATGCTCTCCTTCTCTCAATTTGTAGTGTCGCTGAGTTTTCACTGGTCATTTTCCTGCTCTTCTTTCAGAGGAGCAAGCCGGCACAGATGCTGGAACACAATGTAATCATTTTTTACATCTTGCAAGCATGCAGGCAATTATATGGAACATATTGTGGATATGTAGGCAGCTCCAGGTCCTTACTCTCTGATGGCCAAACCGTATTCCAGCTAATCATTTTATGACAACAATTAGTCGTCTGACCTGAAATACACGTAAGAGGACACAATGTTGACTTATGACTGAAACATATGGATTTCTTTAACACTTGATGGTGGGCAGGTAAAAACTAATGATGGAGAACTGAACTTAGGTGCCTGACGATTGGTGTTGGCGTGATCCTTATAACGACAACGACCAAACTAACAATAAATTCCACAACCAGATGAAAACAGATTAACAAGCTTTCTCTGCTCACTTTGACGGCTGATGTCAGACAGGACCTTGATTTACACGAATGCGATTTGATTGGCTGCTACCTGGGCTGCCACTTGAAACGTTTCACACAGGACAAGCTAAGGGACGCTACGGAACCTAAACGCATCTGTGCAACACATGACCTCCTCCAATTCAAATAAAATGTGAAGCGTTACCGTTAAATTCTCCAACACTTTAATCTTCAACATAACTACTACCTGCCTTAAAACATGTCTTCACTTTAAAATTCAATGATTTACAGGAGTTTTAATCCCTCTAAGGATAATATGCTAATGAGTAATACCTCAACCGCACACAGACACACAAACACACAAACACATCACAAGTTGTTTTAGTTTTTTTGTAGATGATCAATTTACAGTTCTGGCAAATATAAGATGGAATCATAAAATTCATAACGTTGATGGTTTTGGTGAATTGTTAATAATCTGTTAAAACTTGCATATCAGACGTTTACGGCACTTTTATTATTTGTTTCAACTTCGTAAAAAATGGTATAAAAGGCAAAAGAAAAAAAACCAAATACACAACACTGGATTAAAAAATGACTTTTTGGAACTTCACAGTTATGGAGCATTGGAAAGAAAGGAAGAAAAAAACTAAACCAAAACCAATGAACTCTGGTGATTCAGTGGTTTTACAAAAAGCTTACACAATCAAGAAGGTGACTGCCCCCCCGCCCTCACATGAAAATGCAAGAGAAAGCCTTAAACGAAAGCGGCTTGATTTTAAACTGCTCAGTAAAAAGCGTGCTGCAGCCGGCTGAAGCTAAATCAAAGCCACTGGAGGAGCTTGCTTAACAACTGCTTTTCTCTCCCAAACCACTGAATGCATCACTGGGGAGTTGTTTGTCTCTGGCTCGGCTCCAGATCAGCAGTTGTGCGCCTTCCGGTGCTGAAGATATTCTCCAGCTGACAGGCTGCAGCAAGCAGACCTTGTCAGACATTGGGTTAACTGGTGGGCAGATCACTGTTTTCTCTACTTCTCAATTCTGTCCGGGTCAAGAATCGGACTTCTTGGACTTTATCTACTGTGAATTTATGCACAGCACGTTTATCCTTTGAACAAGATATCTGTTCAGCACAGTGACTTTTAATCTTTTGTTCAATTCATTAAAGTGAGTGATAGAAGTTCACTCATGCTTTTTAAACCTTAGTCAGGTTTTGATTTTAAGCCATTTTCAGAAATGAATTCTGGAAAATGTTGAGAAAACTGGGTATGGACATTTTTGGAGATTGTCCGAGAAACACACATTTAAAACAACACAACTGTGGCCACTGCATTCTCACATGGGCTCACTCATTTCACCAGGGGGACTGTCTCTGGAAAGGTCTGAAGCAACTGACTCAGACATTTGTGTTCTGACATCCATCCATTTTTGAAATTGTTAATTTCAAGAAAATCAAAGTGTCACTTTATGCTGCGTAAACAAGGCACTATATGTTAGAGGAGCCCAACAATCACTTAAAGAAATAAAAGGTAGAATAATAAACAAAGTGAATTGAAGGACAACAGATGAAAAAAGTTTGCAGTGAGTTGCTGAGAGTGACCGATGATGTTGGACCTGCAGAACTCTCTCAGCAGCATATTGTCCCACTAAAGGGGTGAACCCAGTCAGTTAAGTTTGTACGACAGTGGCGTCACACATTTGTCCCCACAGACACCCACACTCAAAAGTTTGAGTGTGCACAAAGGACATAAGGAGGAGGAGGTAAAAAAAACAACAAATTCAGAACACTCGAAGGGGGATTAAATGTCCAAAGATGATCTGAGCGATTTGTACCCGTGTTGATTTGCTTCAATTTTGCTTCATATCTTTTCACAGCTGGGAAACCGCTGCTGACTCGTATTCAACCCACATTTAGGTGAATATATTTGTAACTGCTAACGATATTTAAAAAGTTGTAACCATCGACTGTAAAGATGGACGAGATGCCAGCCCTCTAAAGGTGAGTCCAAATTATCTTGATCGCCTCCTCCATGTTAGTGGATGGGACATGTCAAATAAATGGGAGTGTATCTGCAGGACTTCGACAACACGATCACTACTGAGCAGACTCCAAATGGAAAAGCGGCAAGAGTGTAAAATGGTTGCACCCATATCCAAAATAATGTGGTCAGGATGCGTTGTTCATCTTTGTATTCATTCTATGGTTGTAAAATCTTTAGATGATTTAGGGTCCTTCCAATTATTACAGGGACAAAACAGCAATGGAGCTGTACGTACTGCTCATGTTTGACTGTGAAGAAAAATTAAGTACAATTGCACAAACACAAGACTTAGATTCAATTTAGTCAAATGTGTTTGGGATTGATGAAAAAGACAACAAACACTTTTAAATTTTTTATTTTAAATGAGTTTCTAAAATATGTGATGATACAACAGCTGAGTCATTTCAACAGGATTGTAAGAAAACAAAAACAGAATCATTTCTGGTTCATCTGTCGCTAGATGAACTTGATTCTTTTGTGCTACAGTTTGGACGATTATACCCTTTAGTTCCTTCTTGCAGATTTGTTCTCAGAAACGTTTCCGAGACACTGACAAAACAGTCTGGCACAAACAAAATGAATGCAAATTATAATAATCATTATTACATCCTGTGACTCGAATGGATATTTTCGTGAATATATTGGATTGTATGAATGCAGATAACATTTTTATACAAAATACAAACAATTACATCAATGCTTTGAATATAAAAGACACCCCATCGCCCACAAGGAATGAAAAAGACTCAAAAGGAGCAAAAAAAGAAAAATATAGAAAATAATTAAATACCAAAAATAATAAATGCAGTAAGTTTAAAGTCTTTTTAATTGAATATAACTATAACATTGCATATGAAAATAACCATAACATGGAGCTATAAACTAAAAGGTAAAATAAGATTTAGGAAATGTGATATATTTATTATTTAATATAGCATACTTCTAGATCACATAGAAAGTGCTTAGCATCATTGTGTCTTTGCTGACAGGGACAAATTATGTATTGTTCCCATTGTTAAGAATCCATTAATGATAGCCAAACATTCTTGGCTGTGCACTTTGAAAGATCAGGTAGAGACACTGCTGAATCTATTGGGCCCTTCATTTTGTTTTCTTTGTTATTTGTATATTTTATTTGAATCAGTCTCTGTGTCATGAACCACTGAGAACATTGGGTGAGCAGCCGCCTGTGTTCTACTCGCCACAGTTTCTATTCTATCCGATTTTTATTTCTGATGCGTCATGTAGTAAAACATGGTCTTCAAATGCATTAGTGACCTTATGCAAATGTAACTTTATGAGGCTTAAAAAAAAAAGTCCCTGTTTCCCTTGTTAATGTTAATTAATTGCCGTGGTGTTTATGCCTCAAAAATCTTTAAACTGTCTCTTTAAAACTAAAATGTATTTTCTGAAATCCTTTAGGCTACATGCAACGCATGTTTAATGTGTGTGTGTGTACAAACTTACTGTAGATGTTGTTTTAGAGATTAGAAGTGCACCTCATAAGGCCCTGAGTTTGGCCAGAAGAGCCTCTACATCTGACTCCCCGTTGGTGCTGCAGCTGCTGACTGAAGCACCAGCGGAGGAGGTCTGGAGGCCTGGGGGCTCTGCTTCAACATTCATCTCTCTCTCAGTCACTTTAACTGTCTCTCTCTCCACCACCCTCTCTCTGTCCAGCCCGTAGCGATGACCCGGGGTGTTTCTGTACCTGCGGCCCGACTCTGTACACGCCGCGGCCTTCGCCCTGGCAGCGGATGGATGACCCTCAGGCTCGGCAGGGGCCCCCTTGGCAGGCGGAGCTTCCGCCGCCGCAGAGCCCACATTCACATTCTGCCGAGTGCGAGACCTTTGTAAAGGCGCCTTGTTTTCTGTGAGTGAGAAACAGATTGAGAGGTGAGCACAACTGTGGGAACGAGAGAGAAGAGGAAGAAGTTGATGTGTTAGTGACTCGTTAGACAAACGGAGGCATAGGGAGTTAATCAGATAACAGATTAAATTACAAGCAAGTTGGAGAGTAGGAGGAAGGTTAAAAAAAAGCAAGTGAATGAATAGAAAATGAACTGCAGCAAATATGATATCATAAAATAACATGGAAAGTAACAGGAAGCACTCTAGTGAGGATATGCAACAACTAAAGGTACAGCGTGTAGACACACATTTCTGCAGCTGAACGTGTCGTGCGACCAGCTCGATATGATGAAATGGATGTGGCTGATCAAATATGTCGCCCTTTTCCAATCTCCCAGTCTCTTTTTCCCTTTTCTCTTACAAACACCCTCCCACCCAGCTCCACCTCCCCTGATTCCATCATCATCCATTCTCCTTCCTCCGCTTTTCATCTCAGCTCTGTGCTCGTACAGAAGTCCTCTTCATCTTTCTTATTTCTCTTACCCACAACTCCCCCCGCACCCGCCCGTCCAGCGCTCTCTTCAGCCTCCCGCCCCCACACCCCTCTGGCTCCCGACTTAAAACATACACCCGGACTGACAGTGGAACAGAGTGACGGCCCAGATCAGACCTGCGTTCTGAATTATAATCCCTCTGAGTAGATCTTAGACTTCATCATCAGTATGTGTGCGCAGGAAGGAGAGGCTGAATCCATATTCATGTGACCTTGAGCGTGAGGCTGAGAGGAGTGGCACGAGGAAAGACACCACCGCATTTAAAGTTTCCTGAGCCTGAAATGTCTGGCAAACAGGAGTCAAACACAGCAGAGCAGAACAGAGCGACCCGCTCTGTCAGCCAATCGGTAATGAGTTTGGAGCGTGGCCAGTCAGTCATGACAGTGTGTTTTATGGGCCGCGCTGACAAATGACAAGGAACGTCCCTGAACACAACCTCTGACAAATAAATAAGGATAAAGGGAGGAAAGAGAGCAGACAAGAAGGAACCGACTTGAAAATTAAGCAAAAAACACAACAGCCTCACATACAGGATGTGCATGTGCACACGCACACACACACACACGCACACACACACACACACTAAAATTAGATAGGCAAATAAAGCAGTGGGGATTTTGAGGACGAAATGAGTGGTGTGTTTTCTTACTGCTGTGACTGAACATTTACCACAGCTGAAAATCCAAGTCTCCTCTAATTATCTCACCCTTTCAGCTCTCGCTTCCTGTTTGTTGCTTCACAATTGTAAAAGACGACAATTACTCCCCACGTCGATCCTCCTGCTTCACGCTCCCTTATCATGTCCCTTTCCTCTCTCCTCCCTCTAAAAACCTCTCATCTAACCCCCCATGTCTGTTTCCTTTCTGCTCCATCACATCCACAAACACACATTTCGTTAACAAACAACACACCCACGGATTCATAGCTGATGTTGGGAAAATTATCAATTGTGGTATCAGCAATTTGCATTTTAATATCTTGTTTACACTTCTGTTGAAATTCAAAACTGATGCCTTTTCTGTCATCGAGTGGTACTGTCTGACTTCAAACATGCAACTCTTTATTTATTTATTTATTTCTGAGAGCATTAGCAAGGATTATCATTTCAACCTTTTCTGCTGTAGATGAACTCCCAATTATTTTGTATGTGAAACACACACTAGAGAGAAATACAAAGTACTGTATCAATATTTACACTTCAAAAAGAAATAAATAAAAAAAACACACTTCAATAAGACCTCTTATCCAAAAAAGCATTTCTTTTCTTCCTAACAGGGCTCTACCCTTTAGTGGTGAACATGATCAAAGTGTTGGCAAGTTCAGTTTCTGCTCACTCTGCCTGTGACACCTAGCTGCCCCTTCCTTTGAAGCCCCGCTAGATTCTCAACGAACGCCTTCATCTAAGTTGTAAAACACGCCTGGGAGATGTAAAACACATCTCATCTTGAGAGTTGGTCCTTTAACCAACAACTGACACTGGGTTTTATAGGAGAAAGAGTCAAGTGGAATTTTAATCGAAGTAGCTGCTCTGGTTCATGATCAGGGATTTGGAGACAATGCTGCTGTCGTTTACAGAATACCTGCGTTAGGGCTGTGCTCTCATCCCTCTCAAACAATTTGACATGGATGTGCATATGTGAAATGCATCTGATATAGATATCATAGAGACACCAAGAATCCTTACATTGTAATTCAGCTTTTGTTCAAATTAAGAGTTTGTAGTTGTAAGTTAATGAAGATGTTTGCAGATGATGACATCAATATTCAGCATGAAAAAGCCATTGAAAATAACTTTCTCATCATAATGTCACCAAACACCCCCATTTCTGAAACAACAAAATTAAGACAATCCTGTTTTTCAACTGTTTTGAGTCAGAAGACAATCACAGAGTGGAGGGCGGACCTCCCCCATGGCCCTGCAGTCCCCTTAAATTCAGTAAAGCTGCACCAAATGACATCACATGATATCAGCCCCCTAAATGAATCTGTGTATGTATGTATCTTGGGACAGTGGTGAAAATCTCCCAATGTGAAAGTAAGAAGTTTGAAGTTCTTCAACCACAACTAACACTTAAGGCAGTTTATCATTATCATTTAATTTATCCCTTTCCCCTTTAACAATTAAAAAGTAACACAGGGGACAAAACTTTGGTCAGACCCCAAGAAAGATGAAGATTCGCTTCAATTTTGAGGCTGTTTGCCTCAATTTCATGGTCACTGTCATCCATCTACATCCGGCTTTATGAACAACACTAAATGGTTACGTGTCCTTGAAAATAAAAATAACTTATGGTTTCAGTTTTTTCCTTTGACTTATGGAGGTTAGAGTAGTTGAAGTTCACTGGCTTTGTTGTTAGCTTGCTTCAGGTTGGCTGCAGGCTATGAATCTGTCAGGACGTCCTTGTTCTTGTATCTTGCCACATCAAGAAAGAGGTGTTGATGCCTCTTCTACTGGTTTGTTTTGCATGTTACATCTATTTGTCAAATTTCTGCCACTGATGTTTTTTACTTTTTTCCATCCACTGCTGGAATTCTTGACAAATACATGTTTGGAATTTGGGAAATATATGGAGAGACAGATAAATGTCATCTTCATAACCAAACATGACAGCAGTCTATTGGAAAATTGCCTCTGTCCAATATTAGAAAGTTGTTTTCTCACTCTATTTGCAAACAGCATCAGAAAGGAGTTCACATTTCCTTGTGTAAAATAATTTGCTCAGTTTATATTTGCTGCTTCAACAGATGCAGATGAGCTTTTTTCATCTCCCCCCCCCTCATCCTGCTCTCTTGAAGTTTGAAGATGTTAGCAGACAGGCGGGCTGAAGCAGGGAGGCTCAGCAGAGAAGCACAAAGCGAAGTCTAGACTGCAGCAGTGCTCGCTTGTCTTTTTTATTCCCCGACTGTTACAGATACACTGCCTGCCACCATTGTGGTGACAATGAACTCATCTACATGAAGAGCCGTTAAAAGACTGGAGCAAAACAGTCAAAACACGAGAAAGCCTGGAGATTGGTATTTTCCTATGTCTGAAAAAACAAACACAATGCGATTTTGCTAAACTACCGGTCTATCACAGCCCTCAGTCTGCAGCTGTCCCTTACTTTGCTGGAAGGCACAATGGAGAAGAAAAACAGGGATAAAAGAGCTGGCAGACTAAGCTTGTTGCGTCTCTTCATGCTCTCTGCTCTGCTGTAAAATTTGTCTCACAACTCACCAGCCACTGACACAGTGTGAGAAAAGCAAATTCTCAAACAAAACAGACTAATCACTGCTGTGAATGGTTTGAGAGTCAGGAATTCCAAAATGGAGCTGTGTCACTTAATACATTTCTGATTGGATGGCATTTTTTTTAGGAATGTGGGTCCCTGTCCAATGGGGAAAACAGAGCAGTTATTTCACCCCCCCTGCAAATAGCTGCGGAGAGGAATTCACATTTTCCTCTTGTCAGATCATTTGGCACATTTCCATTTGCCACTTCAAATACAGATGCAGATGAGCCTTTCCTCTCATCTCTCACTCCCCCTCTCCTCTCCACTCTTATGAAGTCTGCTGTATTTGATCACTTTAAGAAGAGCGTAGTTATGCAGACTCGCAAAAATACAGAAAGTGAAGTGACTTATTCTGTCTGTGGAGTGACTGACACAACAAGTTGAAGTTAGTAAGATCAAACACACATTTCTACACCCGCCATAAATCATAACACAGCTTGCTGGGTTGGCAGTTTGCTGCATGTTCAGTCTAATGATGACTATTTACCCGTTTTTTTTTTTTTTGTGGAACATCAGTTTACTGCATAAGGTTACCTCCATGTATATTAATTTTATGCTAAATGTAAAATGTTAAACTGGGGAGAATCCAGTGATTTATTAAATTAATGATTAAATTACGAATTATTCTTTTTTATTATTCGCTAAGATATCAGAAAATGCTTTTTTGAGCCAAAGATATTGCTGTGCATTCAAATGTGGATGTCTCAGTGTTACGCATCAGAGAGGCAACAGAGCAGAAGTGAGAGAACAAAGAGAAGGATTTATAGTTTTACAGGCATCAAAGTGCTCCAGTATATTTTCCAGTGTTTCAGAAGTGAGTAAAGACAGGCACTGGAATAACTGAGACACCAGTGACTCCATAGCTCCTATAAGGGTTAGGTCCGGAGGTGTGCATTTTCACTCGTGTGTTTGATAAGATTTCGAAGCTGTATGGTGATTTTCAGTTCCAGAATGAACTATGATTAAGCTATTTTTATTCAAATATGATTTTTTTTAATATGTGAGAAGACAAAAATATTTTTGAAGCATGTGTGCACTGATCAACGTTCAAGTTCAAGGTTTGGAGCCATGAAACTACATGTTACCTTCCACCTGATGTTTTATGCATGGATTTGGTGTTCTTCTGTTACAAGCTTTTTATTTTCATAAAAATGTGAACATTTAATTTTACTGACGGTTTGGAATAATTGTAAT